AAAATTTTATATTTCAGAATAAATTTTTTAAAAAACTATGTTGTGTTTTCATGGTACCTAAAAAATTTTGAAAAAATAACTAAAAAGCAGTTCATGCCCCGGGTAATTTATCCGAAGAACTACCTATATTCAAACTATCATTTTGTAATTCCCTGTAACAAATACTTTAACCAAAAATTTTATAAAAAATATGGCAGCTTGTACTTTAGGGGGCAAATATATTGTCGTTTAATGAGTTTTGGTTAAAGTAAGGCAGCTAAAATAGGCGTAAAAGATGTTCTATCATGTTCTTCATAAATTTGAGGTTTATATTACAGAAGATATAAAACAGGACAGTTACTAAATATTTCATAATTAAACACAAAGCGGTTCCAAAGTTATGACAGCCGGGGCTTTGAGAAAACGCTAAAACAGGAAGAAATAATAAAAAATTCACAAAAAGTATCAAACATAAATATAATATAGATTATAATAAAGTTCCAAAATGAGTTAGCGGCATACTGACTTCCTTCAGAGTTTTTATATTTGTCCTTTGATGCTTTTGACAACCCTCATAGAATCTTTCGACGTTTCTTGGATGACTCAATATTTTTATAACCAGCTAAATAAATAAGTTTCCGATTAATGCACAACTTAATGTATATTTCCAAGGTGTTAAGTTTAACTGTTCATAAATTAAAATATAACTTCTTCCAATGTTAAAGTTTGCTACAGCATCGTATGTTTTAAATTTTAACTGTGTTAGGCTGACATTAATTTTTGAGTTTATTTTTGGGATTTGATCCGAACTTATTGCATTTAGACGTTTTGATTTGGTATATGCCTATGCAAACATTTACGCCACAAAAATCCTCACTTAAATCTGCATTTATTGGTTTTTTTAATGTATTCAATTGATAGAAAAAGTCCTGCACCTGGTTTGTACGTTGACTCGTCTGTTGCTTTATATTCTGATATCTGCCCTAACTGTTTTTACCAATTAGACAGTGAGTGTTCCAGCTATTTTTCTTTGTTGAGGAAACATAAATACTGAGCATGAATAGATTTCTTCATGCCTTTTAGATTGTTTTTATTACTTCTTAACGCAATCCCATAATAATTCTGAAGCTTTTTAATAGGACTGTTTGTTAACTTTCCAAGGCCAGTGTTTCATATTTATTTTTTTAATGTTCTTAGACGTGTCCCTCTCTTTCTGAATAAGCTTTACACATTCTAACTTGTCAACTTTAACACCAGTATAAGTATATTTCACAGCTGGATAACTTTTAATGTAACCATTTCCAATGACTTTAATATATTACGATTCGTATTCTTTAACAGATCTACTAAATATATGACTGGCATCAGTCACTTCAATACTTCTTGCTGAACCAATACAATTTACGTTACAACAATAAGATTTGTACCAATATTTAAAGCTCTCTGAATTCTTAGGTTTTAAATTTCACGTCATTGACATTGTTTCCAAAGTCTACTCATCGGCTCAACATCTAGCACTTTTCCATTTTCCATTGACAAGGTTAGCACAACTCCGTTTAGTGAACTGTATCCTCTATATTACCAAGTTCTATCAGTTGAAACTCTAGTATCAACTTTTATCGTTGCAATTACCTTTTACTTCGTTTGCAACATCAAATATTGTTTCTTTAGCAATTGCAGCAACAGCTTAAGTAATAACCTTTACAAAACCAGTGTATTCATCGGACTTGGGGTTATTTATTGCTGAAAATTTTTCATGCCCTTATTACCCTTGCCCAATTGATTTAGTAAAGTAGATAAAGCCTTTTTTTTTTGTAGATTTATAACTTTATGCGAGCCTATGAAATAAGCAGATTAGGGGAAGCTTTATTGTTGCTATGTGCTTTTCTATCGTTAAACTTTATGAGTATGCTTCAAAAAATTAAAATTACTCGACTTTCTTAATATTGTAAAAAATCTCTTTATTTCATTGTGCTCTTCTTTAATTTTTGCTTCCGAAACAAGAATTAAAAAAATTTTTTTTTTTTATTGTATCGGCTAATTCCCCTTAAATTTAACACATAATCACAAATAAACTTAGTATCTTGAAAATGCAATTTGCTTAATAATATTTTTAAGTGAATTGTGGCTGTGAAAAAATCATTTTTCTTTTTTGAAGAATTATTCTGCTTATTAGATAGATGTCTAAAGAATTTTGTTAAAGGGTTGAGTTTTTTTTTAAAAGTTGAGTGAAAAACTTATAAAACAATAATATTGTTTGTTGATCGTTTAAGTAATTGAAAAACATTAAAAAAAAAAAAGTTTTATGATTTGTTAAATGTGATATTGATTTATGCAGTGATAAAATAACAGAAACATTGGAAACTAGGAGTTTATTGATAAGATCAGTATTTGTTGTTCTTGTAGATGTTTTTCGGCTAAAATTTTTGGGTGATGTAAGGCTTTCAATTATGCCATGTCCGTGTATGTGCGCTTTGTGCATATACACGGACATGGCATAATTGAAGTCATTCAATACTATGGATAAAGAGACACATGTAGTCTAAAACAGTCTCAAAACAATAATCTTTAAATTTTAAGCAGTCTTTTTCATAACCTGAATAAGGTTTTTCCAAAATAATGTAAACCTGAATGTAATGTTTTGATCAATACCCAGATTTTCAGCTTTATTTTTATATGCTGTAAAAGCACCTTGAGGTTTTGCCATCTTTGCTTGTTCCAGAATCACCACTTTTAGGGTAATCAACAACAAGTTCAATAGTGTTCATAAATTCAGTCTAAATCCTTTGTTTAGCTAAAGATGCCTTATTCTGTATGCAATGTGCAAAACCATCTAAAAAAATTGAATCCATGTATGAAGACTGAAAAGACCATATTTGAACTCTCTATTAGTTTAATATGTATTAAGGGTAACAATGCTATTCATATTTTTTGGAGAGACACCACACACTGAACAGCATTGGTATGAGTTAGTTTTTTCAGATAATATCGTTTAAACGTTTCCATCAATCGTTGTTGTTCAATAACACAATTCACTTAAATTGAAGATCTGCAAACCTCTAAAAAATTATGCTCAATCTCTCTTTTAATGTACTGATTCTCTTCAATCACAGAGTCCTTGGATTCCTTTTTGGGTGCAAATTTTATGGGTCTACAAAAGGCTGTGGATAACAACTTTTGATTTCTCTAAATATACACCTTTATTTAAATCAAGTAAAATCCAATGGAGCGAGACAATCAATAAATAGTAATTTTTTACGCTTTAAAACTTTATTCATGTCTAGTTTTAGTAAAACTTGGTAACAAATGCTTTGGTCAGTTGTACTATCAAAACCAGCCTTATACGTGAGTGTCTTTGTTTTTATATAAACGTTCTTGGCAGCAATAACAATAAATTCATCTCTGAATTTTTTTACTAGCAGAAAAAAAAAAAAATTATTGGAAAAATGAAATTCAAGTACACCTGATTCACACCGCTTTCTAATTTTGTCAAAACTATTATTATTTGTAGCTGGTTTTTGACCATGTCTACTTGCATATGGTTCAATGTTTTTTTTTCTAAAATATAAATATTTATTAAGCCACTACACAAACTTTTTTTCAAAACTTTTGGCACAAAAGATTTTCACTTTTTTTTTATGCAAATAAACAAATTGTTGAACAGCATGCCTAAAATCAGCGTCTATATATTCAGCAAATTATGGTTAAATAAATTTTAATATATCTTTAGTAATATTTTATTAGGAAATACTAAAATTGTTTTTTTGACAAAGATTTTGAATGTTTAAGTTTAATAAAACCATATCTAAATAATTCTTATACTAAATATTTTGTGTTTAAAAGTTAAGTATTTTAATAAATATGGCCCGTGGACTACTAATTCTTGTTAATAGTCAAGTTACTACAAGTGTTAGAATGTTAGAAGTAGAAGTTAAAATTAGAAGTAATTAAATAACTGTTATTGCTAGTAATTAAATTACAAACAACAACCAAAAATATGATGTTGCTATGCTATTCAAAGAAAAGTATCCATAGCAACAAAAAAAAATCTTATATGAATTTTGAATCTCACTTTAATACATACGCCCAATAAAGTTAAAATAACGTTAATGTAAAAATGAGTTAATGCTATGCAAAATTAAGTAGCAGCCAAGTTAAAACATATATAAAATCTGAACGGGGATTTAAGAGGACAAACAATCAATAGACATCTGATTGAATAACCATCTGACTCAAATAAATATAAAACTGCAAATGGCAAATTGTGCCAGTTATTAGTTATAGTGCGGCAAAAAATGAATTTCTTCAAGATTTTTGTTTGAGCTGCGATTTTTAAAGTATAATTGAAATAACATTTTATGACAAACTTATTTAACGCAATGGTTTTTCTTATATCTAAATACTTTTAAAAAACATGTACTAACTTTTTGTTTTAAAAACGTAGATGTAATTAAAATATCACACAACGTTGTCACCGAAACTATTTATTATTTTTTTTTTTCCTTTTTAATTCCAATATTCCAATGCTCATATTAACTAAGTAACTAAACCTGGTAACTAAAAAGTTTAATAAAAATCCATTTTCAATATATTTCTTCTAATATATAAAAATTGTAAAACTAAATAAGTTTTTAAAATTAGACAACTAATATTTTTCCCATTTTGTCCACCCACTGACACCCAAATCAAAGCTCTTAGTGAATGAATCAGCACTCCTCGCTTGTTCTACCTACTATTCACTCGGCGTTTAGTGTTAAATATATTTTGTAGTATTTTGTTAAATATTTTTTTAGAAATATACAAAACTTTTTCTGAAGTTGTTATTTTGCTTGACATACACTTCTCATTATATATATATATATATATATATATATATATATATATATATATATATATATATATATATATATATATATATATATATATATATATATATATATATATATATATATATTCTTTTTGCATACATTTATATATAAAAAGATATATAAAAAAACAATTGTATTATTTATCATACTTACTCAATGCAGTCAGGATTTAGGTTCATAGATTTCTTTCTACGGATTCTTAAAACAGTAATAACAAAAAAAACTGCAAATAGAATTACTAACACAGGAGCTAATACTGCAGCAGAGATTACTAACGTTTTGTCTATATTAAAAAGAATTATTAAAAATTTAAGTTTTATAAAACAGTTTAAAACAATTTAATTTTTATTATGACGAACTTGACGTTAATGAAGCTATATAGAATGTATAGTTAAAAAATAAAAATATGTCATAAACAATATGTTTAGTAATTTTTTAATTAAGGGAACATTGTTTAAAATAAATAATAAATAACAATAAAGAATTATTTACAAAAAAATTCAGATTAAAACTGATAAGGTCAAAACGCAGTTCGCAAACTAAACTTGACATGTATTTGAGATTCACAGGTACGGCATTTAGGTAATGCTGTATGTTATTTAACTTATACAGCAACATTTTACTTTAAAACTATCATAGAAATACTCAATATAAAAAATGTTACAACAGTTTTTATTAGCACATAAAATCTACATAATTATTGGCTACAATTAGTTCTCATTTTGTAGATAAATTTTGAATCTGTACATATGTCAGAAATAAAAGTTTGAAAACAATAATGATCACGTAAAACTTGAAAATAGGTAGAATTTAAAAACCAAAAATTCGCTGAGCAAACCAAATTTAATGCTTAACGTCATTTTAATGCAATGTAAACTTATGCTCAAAAATGAAATACTATCCTTCTTATGTTAAAGTTGTATTATGTCAACTTGACTTACATTTAAAAATTATTCGTGAATATTATTACATATATTAAAACTTGCGTTATTGAGCATGTATTTTGATACACCTCAAACAAATGTAAACTAGCTCATATACTAATAGGCCTGAATAAAAATTTACGCTCCAATATACTAATAGGTCTGAATAAAAATTTTATTATTAAGACCAAAAAAGTGATGATCTTTTAAATGCATTATAATATATTTACTTCCTATTTATTGGTTCTTACATTCTGTCTAATATCGCAGTTTTACTATGGCTTTAAACTGTCAAATGTGTAAAGTATGTAAGAAATCTCTTTTTTATTAGAAATTAGTTCAAATATTGTATTTATATTTCTTAACTTTTGTTCTATGGATAATATGTCTTTTACCATTGCTGGTAAATAGAAGTGATTTTAATATAAGATGCAAGTAGTATACTAAATTGATGTTAATGCATAATAAAAGACGTTAAAAAATTTAAATAATGTCAAGCCTTTCTTTTTTTCTAAATTTTCCAACCACATAAAAGTCAATTTTTTAACGTCTTTTATATACTTATTTATTCTGTTTATATTAACAACAAACCTAATGTTGCAGATAGTTTGTTTACGCTATAATTGAGTTGATGTTGTTCACTAAATATAGATCACTGAATTCTTTGATACTAATTTAAAATTGTCATTGCAATGCATATTGATTATGTTTCCTAAAAAAGTTTATAAAACACTTTTAAGTTTAAAATATTTTTATTTTGAGTTTTGTACTTGATGTATTCAAGGTTATTAAAATAAAATTGTAATGTTATTATAATATAAAAAATTTGGCAACTTTGATAAAACTAATGATCTTCTCTTTCAACAAAACAGATCATTGTTACAAAAACACTTTGAGGATTGAAACATAATGCTATCATTAATTAATTTTAATTTTTCTAGCTTTTGTATAAATCAAACAAGATTAAATTTATAATAGGTTAAACTATTATCAATAGTACATCCTAAAATGTCTTTAAAGGAAAGTTATTCGGAATACACAGACCAATGTAAAAATCAAAATTCGTTTTAGATTCATTTTTTAAGGGGATCAAAAAACTAACAGCAAAATTTAAAATATGTTATAAAATAGTAAAAACCGCTGGTTAAACGACAACACCACAGCACACTCATTCAAGAACAATACACAATATTAATGTATTAAAATGGGATGTCCTGAAAGAAGAAGGTCTAGAAAGCAGCGCATTAAAAATGATCATCGCAAACTATTTATTCAACAAAAAAAGATGAATCACTTGCTGCAATCGTATCATGAATGTGTGCCTTAGATAATATGTCATTTATATTTTCTGTACATCTATCGATTTGAAAAATATGGTTTGGAATGGAGGCGCTTGAGATAATGTTTTACCAAAATCACCAAACTCATTTTGCAAAATGGTTTTAGAATCCGCACAAAAAATGAAGAAAATGATTCAGGATTTTATAAATTTAAAAGAAGATGGAGTAAAATTTAGCTTAACTCTAGATGAATGGGCATTGATGAATGGTCCATGGCAAGAAACAGTTTTGGAATTTAGGTTTAGTATTTGTTGAAGGACGTTTCCCTCAAAAAAAATGCATTAAGGCTCTGAAAACCACATTGCAAAACAACAATCTAAATCTCGATAAAGATATTATGTACACAGCAAATGATGGGGCAAGTGATGCAAAAAGTTTACCATGTAATCAGCAGTTGTGCTTTGCACATGCGATACATTTAGCTTTAATCGGTGTTCTCTAAAACAACTTGAATACAACTGAATCGGTGGCTCACACATATACAGAAAATGTTAGTGTAGAAGATCAAGTAAGTGACTCCTATGAATCGGAAAAGGAATACATTGCAGATGAAAATGTTGGCTTGATTACAAAAAACTTATATTGAAACATGTTAAGACTGAACAACTTGGATTTAGTTTTCCCATCAAAAAAGTTCGTTCAATTGTAAAGAAATTTTGTTTTTCGAGAACATCAAATGATACTCTTCAAGTATACGTGAAGCAAAAATTTGGAAAACAATTGAAACTTATTATGGACAATAGAACTAGATGGAGCAGCTCTGTTAAAATCGGTGAAATGCTTAAAAAGTTAAAAAGCTGTTTTAGAAAAACATTGATTGACATTGCATCTGATATCGTTATTCTAAATGTTGAAGTTTTGTGGATTAAAATCATTATCTCTGCACTTCTCAAAGCGAAGCTTACTGCTCAATCCTTTTGTTGAGAAGATGCAAATCTGCTTTCTGCTGATGCGGCATATTCTTTGATGCTAGAAAATTTTGTATCTGATGAATTTTCATTAAAATTAAAGAAGAAATTAGAAGACAGAATAGCCAAAGATGAGCCAATATATCTTGAACTGTTTAGCATTTAGACAATGGCGGAAAAAGTGAGATTCATGCATCATTCACTAGACCATTAAAAAAATAGCTTAAGTTATTGAAAACTTTTAACAAAAGCTGATATTTGACACCAATATAGAAACTTCCTCAAACGCAGTCAGAAGCTGACCATAATGCAAAAGTTGAAAAACAAAATTCAATTGAATTTATTGTCCAACTTAACGTCCAACTAAATAAATAATATATAAGATCCTAATTTCAAAAATTAATTCTGAAATTCAAGTGTGGAGTTTAAGCAAGACTTATATGTTGGTAACTTTAGTACAAAAGTTCGAACGAGACTCGGAGACGCAACTTTAAATGATCTCTGCTTCCTCAAGACACATTTTAGGCAAATAAGACAATAATTATATATTTTTTATTATTGAATGATATACCATATTAGAATGTTTCTGTACTAATTGAATTTGGTACAATTTTATATTCCATTTTTATTTTTAAAGAGATTATTTTTTATGCAAGGAGCAACAACAATTTGTCTTAATTAAGTCATTTTTATTATTATAGACAAAAAAATTTAAAAAATTTTTGAAATTCGACCGAATTCCGAAAAAGTTTAATTTTAAATTCCGAATTACGATATTTTTTAATTTTGTCAAAATTTGCATTCCCAAGGTGTTCTAATCAAGCCATTTAGTATGATGAGCATTAAAGACACCAATAACAACCATTTTAGGAATAAATAGAAAGGGTTAAGTAAATTCGATAGAAATTTTCTTCTAAAAGAGTGCAGTTGACGGTAGAAGAAAGGCATTAAGAACAAAAAAAAATTGATAGACTGCTGAGCGAAAGCACAAAGAAGATATGTCAGTGAACTCAAACATGATTTTCTGAACAAACAGGTTAATTGATGCATAATTATACGTCTGACCCAAGCATGTGACTTTTATAGTCTTAAAATAATAAAAGATAATAGCGAGATCTGAAAAACGCCAAACTTAAATTAATCTTACAAGAAGCAAGTTAGTCTGTTGACTTTTGCAAAATGTAAAATTCAATCAAATGAAAGTCAAAGATCTTTAAAAATGGATGCTACGTTGTTTTTGAAATTGAGTTTTCAAAGACCACGGATATTTGTAAAAGATATATTGAAACAGTTAAGTAGTGATGATGATTTTAGGTTATTTTTGGAATGGTTTAAGTTAAAGAAAACCTAACTCTTTCACCGATAGATCATGGCATCCTAAATAAAGAACGACGCAGTTGTTCACAGCTACAATGCAGCCTCAATAATTCATACTAAAAACGCTGACAGGGACACCATCCATTCGTAACATGACACTGCTAATATTCTAATATTTTTAGCTGGGGATTAAATCAGCTTCTCTGAGAGCTACAAATATTACAAAATACTTACTAATGACCGGATTAAGAATCTCAGTTTAGAGTTGTAATCTCATTAGAAAACAAAAAAAAGAGTTGCATTGCCACTATTGAGATTGCACAAGAAAAAATCACGAGTACAGTAAAAAAAATCCACGACTTACTATCCACAGTAGGGTTGATGAATGCTAGGTAAGTCTGATAGTCCAAAATCGCGTGTAGGCTGGTCAACAGAAATGTTTTGCATTCTTTCAAAATTTTTGTCTATGATAAGATACAACCTAGATGCAGTAATTTTTTTTTCCAAAATTGTTTCGAGTCACCATGTCATATCACCATATATCAAAATTTTTAATCAATTATTGCAGTTTTCCAGGGAGAATCAAAAGTGATTCTCAGGGAGAATCAAAAGTGATTTAGCAATACAGTAACTGTATTGCTGAAATTTGAAAAAAAATGAGCCTAAAATAAATATATTTTGCAATTAAACTCATACATATTTTTGCTTGTCTTTTTAATGAGAGTTTGTTTTATTAAAAATACCAATAAATATGCAAAATTAATGCGTTTTTTTGTTAAATTAATTTCTGATTCT